AATGGTATCAATGTGGATTTCACAAGTTTCAAAATCTCCCCTCCCCCTACCGCATCCCAAAACCAGTCCAGCTCGTCCCTGCCTCCCTAACCTGTTCTTCCTCCCACCTATCCCCTCCTCCCACCTCAAGCCGCACCTCCATCTCCTACCGACCAACCTCATCCCGCCCCCTTGACCTGTCCGTCCTCCCTGGACTGACCTATCCCCTTCCTACCTCCCCACCTACACTCACCTTTACTGGCTCCATCCCCGCCTCTTCGACCTGTTTGTTTCCTCTCCACCTATCCTCTCCTCTATCCATCTTCTATCCGCCTCCCACTCTCTCCCTATTTATTTCAGAACCCCCTTCCCCTCCCCCTTTTCTGATGAAGGGTCTAGGCCCGAAACGTCAGCCTCTCTGCTCCTATGATGCTGCTTGGCCTGCTGCATTCATCCAGCCCTGCACCTTGTTGTCTCGGATTCTCCAGCATCTGCAGTTCCTCCTAGCCCTGTTTAACTAACTTGGTTGAATGTTTTGCAGAGGTAGTAGAGAGGTTTGGTGAGGGACCTTTGGTTGATGTGCAGCATATTTCTTCGGTGGTCCAGTCACGACAGGATCAGCAACTGAGTATCAGTTTCAGGATGAACAAAACATTTCAGCAAACTTTAATCGTTAGATAACTTAGGGGCAGGTATTAATTCCAGAAAGGAAATATTGCTACAGGTCATAATTTCTAATTGCAAAACAAAAACAAGATGCAGAAGCAATTAAAACATACATTTCAAGATTTCGTGCTGTAGTATTACAACTTGGATCAAGAGCTAATACTGTAATACTTGTGGCCCAACTGTAAAACCATCCCTCTATTCCCCTTATTGTTCTGCTCTCTTAATACATCTATCCCACTCTATATCCCACTGTTCCAACAGCACTGCTCAGATAGGGGCAAAACATGGAACTTAAAGACACTTTGTTCTCAGTGCTTTTAGTGAGATAAATTCATGTATTTAATAGTCATGGTTTAAGAGGTCTGTAATACAATTGTGTATTATCAGGGGCAAAAGAAAATTGCTGAAAATAACAAACTGGTCAGTTATAAAGGTACATTAATATTCTAAATGAACATTCCAACTGTAAATTAAAAAGCAACTTTAACCTCTAGTGTCTTTTTGTGAAGATTACCACTTCACTTTCTGAAGATCTGCAGTTTCATTGTCCTCTTGCTGAGAGCTCAGAGAGATTACACTTTGTGAGCAGCGAGTACTTTGCAGCCGCTGTGTTGGTGATCAGACGTGTGTGTGTGTGTGTATGTGTACGTCGCTATGGAGACTGCGGTGTTTGTGCGGAGACACGGTCTGAGCAGAGGGCGACACGGCCCGGTAAGGGCGGCTCGGATGGAGCAGGAGGAGACCGAGGAGGAGTGCCCCCAAGCTGGCCGCCAGCAGGCTGAAGGGTCGGCCCCAGACCAGTGTGACATGGTGGATCTCAGCGGCAACGGTTTGGACAGGTTACCAAAGCACATCCTTCAAATGGCCAGCTTACAGGTGAGGCCGGAACCGCGGTCAGGAACAGGAGCCCTGGGTCAGATAGGGCAGGTCCTGCTGAGTTCAGACTGTCCCTCAGTCCCGACAACATCTCCCAGTAAAAACACTGTCCCCCAGTCCCAACACTATCCCCCAATCCCAATGCTGTCCCCCAGTCCCAAC